GGATTTTGTCTGAGTAGATTTGTATGTTCCATTTAGTCGTCTTTCAATACGAGCAGATAATGTCCAACTTCCCTATCCATACAATAAGACTGGTTCAATCAATATTCGAAAATCTTATGAAGTTTGTTCCTTACATTTTCTTCTATCATGTATTTTTATGTTCATTTGTTTATTTCACTTGTTATTACATGCAATAATTAAAGTTTAACGTCAAAATCTATCAAACAAAAATCTCTCATCTGTTACTTAGAATATTCATTAAATTTTTCTTTGATAAAATAATATTCCAGAACTCTTCTGTTTTCATAGACACGGTTAAATATATGCCATTTTTATTGCTTGAAACACACCATTGCATCTGATCAGCACTCTTTTACGAAACGACCGGTATAGCTGAAAATAGTAAGTACTCATTTAAAAGAATCCTGATATTATATTTCAAAAATGCACATTTTTAAGTTTTTACTTTTGATATTTTCTTCCTTATAAAAGTATGGTGTTGAACAAAGCAAATATAAAATAAAATCAAAAAAATAAACTTCAGAAAGAAAAATGCAAACAGAAAGAGAATAATAAAACATGAAGCCATTAAAAAAAAGGGTAAATATAAAGACAGAATGGGAAAACGAAAAGTAAAAAAAGGGTAACTATAAAAATAGAATGGGAAAACGAAAAGTAAAAAAGGGTGAATATAAAGACAAAATGGGAAAACGAAAAATAAAAAACAAAAAGAATTAAAACTGAATCCTATTTCATAACTTTTAATTTTTAAAAACAATATAATTCAGTCCGAAGTTCTAAGTCCTCCTATTTGCGATTAATGGTTGAACATAGAACTGAATTGTAACAAGAAAGAGATTCTGAGATTTCTCATGAGGCTATTTGTAAGAGAATTGGATTTGATTGAGAAATAATCACAATAAATTATTTAACTCTCACTTTCTGTCATATCATGCAGTTTGGGATGTAACGAGAATTGATTGAGAAATAATTGCAAAAGATTATTTAACTTTCTGTCTCATCTTGTTGTTTGCGAAAACATAAATTGAGAAATACTTGAGATGAATCATTTAACTTTCTGTATCATCTTCTCGTTTTTGGTGCGTTATGATGAGACGGATAAGTAGTGAGACTTTTTCCACCAGTTAATGATACTTTGTTCTCTAGAAATAAATCCTTCTGGAGGAATACATCTTTTTTTAAAATTCTGCAGTTTCTTGATTTTTCAAACCATTTACTTACTACATTCGAAACAGTAGTTTAACAAAAAACACTTGAGCCTAAGATCACAATCGAGTCATGGGAAAAAGATCCTAGGAAAACGATCAAGCCTTTGCAAAAAGGTCCTTAGGATCTTGATCGAGCCATTTCAAAAACGGACTTAGGATCACGATCGGGTCATAGAAAAAAGGTCATAGGATCACGATCAGATCATTGCAAAATGTCCTAGGATCACAATTAAGTCATAACCAAAAAAGACCCTAAGATCACATTCAAAACATTCCAAAAAGTCCTAGGAAAACAATCACGTCATTGCAAAAATATCCTAGTAACATATCGAGCGATTGCAAAATGCCCTAGGAACACGATCGAGCCACTGCAAAATTCCCTAGTAATATGATCGAGGTCATTGCAAAATGCCCTAGGAATACGATTGAGCCATTGCAAAATGCCCTAGGAACACGATCAATCCATTGCAAAATACCCTAGGAACACCACCGAACTATTGCAGAGATTGTCGCAAAAATTCTATTCTCATTGTACTTTGTAAGTTCAACATAAGATGTAGCAGGCCTCGTCATCCATTCTTTTTTTTTATCCTGCCAGTTCAAGCAAAATTTCTTTATCCTTTCTTTTCCTGCATGCAGTTGTGTGGCAATGATTGACCTCCTCGCATCATTAAATGAATGTTTGCCTCACTTGCTGTCCTTAATGTGCAAACGTCAAAAAATTTCTTCCTATATCGACTTTCTTCTCGAAGATTTTGGAACCAACACTAAGATTTTGAAGTCATAAAAGCATTATATAAAGGAAGGAATGACCATGCATTTTTAATATGTAACGAAAAAAAAAACCAAAACGTGTTTAATTGTATCATCCTAATACTAAAATCCTAAAAATTCGAAAAAAATTATGATATTATTTTTTTGTGCCAACAATATAGAACCGGATATATTTGAGTTTAAAATAGTGTTTAAACTTTTATAAGACCATGTGACGTGTGAATTATTGAGGAGATTTGGAGGTGAAAAACACCCAGATTTTAAATATCTGACAAGGTATCTATTAAGTTGTTCAGTAAATAATGCCCGATTTTAGAACCAACTGTTATTCCTAAATAAATGTATTTAATCAGTGTTTAAATCAATCAAAATAGAAACATCTATACATTTTTTCATCGAGTTATAATGTTATTTATGCCTTTACGATAAATCACTAACGGTTTGGACACTAAGAATTTTGGCATTTTCTGCATCTTCTTTACAGTGGAATGTCTCTTGGCTTAAAATATTGTCAAAATGCTTGAAATATGGTAGTTAGTGGGCGATAGATCAGGATAATATGGTGGATGTGACAAATTCTCGTATCCCAAGTCTGTGAGCTTCTGCGGTGTCATTCTGGCGACATGTGGCCGAGCATTGTCATGAAGCAAAATTTGACATCGTCAATTAACCAGTTCTAGTCACATTTTGTGTATTTCATCCAATTGTTGGCAGTTTACTTCAGATGTGGTGCCCTGATTAGATTCAAGGAAGCTGTAATAGATAACGCCAATGGTGGACACTCAGAGAGTCACCATAATCTTTTGTTGGTGTAATTTAGGTTTCGGAAAGTGTTTGGGTCATTCGTTGTGATCAAATCATTTAACCGATCGTCAACGATTGTCAAAAAGGGTCCATTTCTGACCACAAGTTATGATTGTTGAAATGCTGGCACCCATTATCTGCGACATTTCTCTGACACTTTGACGTGGGTTTTGTCAAACTAGTGTTCTCTGATGTTGATTGACAATTACAGATGGACGTCCTCTACCCCCTTGACCTTCAAGACTTCTATTCCGTGACCAGAAATTGAGAAACCAGCGCCGTACTGTCCGATCACAAGTGGATCCTTCACCCCCATGTTCTGTTCGTTGGCAGCAATTTGAAACGCATTATCACCAAGCTTGAACTCATGCAAAAAAAGTACGCATATCTTTTTTCATGTTCAAGATGACGGATATACAGTTTTTTAAGTTAAATCCTGAAAGAGACTGATATAAAATTAATAAAATAGACATATTAATCCTTAGAAATGAGTAATTTATTTTTGTGCAACTATTATAATAAAATGTTTATTCTAAAGCTGGACATTATTTTTCGAACAACCTAATATTAATTATTGCATGGCAATATAATTTTCTGTTCTCATTAGTTTATGAAAGAGTGTACTTAAGAAAAGGGTATTTTTGCGATTGAAGTTTGTGGAAATAACTTTTTAAATCAATCAAAACCAATTTATTTGATTTGCTGACACCTCAATTAAATATGATTTGAACTCGAAAAATGTGGATAAAACGCCCGAAAAATTAAATCAGTTGCGATTTTATTTGAAACTTCCGACGTAGATGTAGAAAATATACCCTGAATTTAAAAATAAATTTACGAAAAACTTTAAAAATGCCTTTTAATACCTGTCTATATTTATGGGATGAGGTATTGTAACTATTTACACTATTTAAATTGTTCGGACTTCAGTCTTCATCGCTATTCTTAGATTCTCAATGTTTCTGCGGTTTTACGCCCCGTCCTTCTTCAGAATTCTTGGAATTTTGAACCGAACCTGGAGTACTCAATCTGTATGTTGGCGTTTCTGAAGATTGGTTTGATTATGATGTGTGTAGACGTGTTTATTTCCTGAAATGAGCTGACATATACCCTTCGCACTGATAAGTCACTGAGAATCTGTTCCGTTTCTGCCATCCACTGCTTGCAAATACCGTGACAGAGGTTGGCAAAGGTCAAGTTCTTTTCCTGCAGTTTGGTGTTGCCCTGCCGTTCATAGATAGGAATTGAAATTCCAATGCAAAAGCCCTCACCTTTATTTTTTTCCTTTCATGTTTATATTAGTTCGGTTCGAAATTCAAACAAATATCACCTGAAGAAGGCTGGAGCGTACAAAGCCGAAATGTTGTGAATGTAAAAGTAAAGATATGGACAATGTAAGTGTTGTAACCTAGGGAAAGTTACTGAATAGAATAATCACACGTAGGTTGGCAATGAACGATAATACTTAGGACACGAATAACTCATATATGATTTGCCAGCGACGCGTAGAAGTAGTAGTCAATTGCTAGAAGTGAGTCAAATGAATTCCATAATCAATCTCTAATTGCAGGATATTTACCAACCGCCCCACATCTCTTTCGGCCTTATGCCATAATTGTTATTTTAATGACAATAAGTCTTCATATTCTGAAGTTGATCCTCCAAAATTTTAGATTTAATTTTCATCGTCTGCTAATTCAAAGAATACAGCGCTTCTCATACAACTTCGCTCGTTGGTTAATATATATGGATACAAAAATTCAAATAATTGGAGCCGGTTTTGTACAAAAGTCGCGAAATTGTCCAACTCCTTTAACAGCATAATTAGCCATCCCACAAAATATTTAATATCTAAAAATGTACTAAACTAATTGAGTTTCTTTTTCCACGTTTTCAGATAAGACGTTTCGCCATCTTGATATCATTTGTCGTAAGAATGACTGAAAAACCCTGAGTTATTCAGCTAGAAAGATAATAGGTTAAAATTTTTTGATTCAGACCGACTGTCTTCCCAAATGGGCAATGGTGAAAGGAAAAGATCACTCAGACATTCAGTAATGGTACCAACATCCATACTCTGGCTTCCATCTTCAAAGTCCATTAAAGAACTATCGTTGAATAAGTTTAAAAAAGAGGGAATATTAGAGAGGAAAATTGGATCAGGAGGTCACAAAAGGAAGAGGGATCATCATTCCAACTTAGAGATAAAGAGATTAAGTAGAAAAGATCCAAGATCAGTGAAAAAAGACTTGAATGTAAAATCGTACATGAAACCTGTGAGGCACCTTGTTACTCCAGGATAGAAGGTTAGAAGGTTAGAGAGGACTAATATCATATTGAATAAGTTTAATATGAGCTTCATGAGCTTCCGATCTTTGGCTATGATTAATTAATAGCGAACATGTTATTTTTGTTTATGATCGATTTCATCACGATATTCTGTTAAGCTTAGAGAGTAATTATACATTATTATTGCTCAAAGTAGGGTCCAATAGTGTTATAAAAAACTCAGAGAATTCCAGTAAGATATATTTAATCATCTCTAAAATACAACGGTTCAAAGCATTTTTCTTTTTCTGTTACACGATTTGGACAGTTTTGCTGTTATCTCTGGTATGTTCTTGAAGACGAAGAGACAAAGTCGAAAATTTTATAAAGAATTCGTTACACCGGAAAAGCGTATACTGTCTTTGGCTTCCACAGTTTAAAATGAAAGAAAGCCAAAATTGTGTGGGGAGGAATTGCCTTAGGATCTGTGAGCGTAAGTGGGTATC